AGTTGCGGTTTTGGGCCTTCCTTCAAGTGAATCATCTTTGAAGAACGTGCATTCACACTTAAATTCAGCTGCCCACTTTTCAATGGTTGACATGGAAGGAGTAGAGTCCTTGTAAGATTTTGTCAGCTTTGCATAAGTTTCTTTAGAGGTTAGTCCATCCAAAAGGAAGAATTTTATGGTCGCATGATATTCAAGTTTATGCATTTTGACGAAAAACACGCAAGACGTCTGCTGTAAAAATTCGTGTAACCAAACTACTTAAAAGAACAAGTTGAAACTTGCCATACATACTAATGATATGTGCACTCATGCAAGAAACATAAATTTTTGCTGATTTGAACGCCATCTTTGTGTCAGGTCAAGAACTTTTTACCTTACCCTCGTATGTGTTACATCCACAGAAATGTGAGGAGCTATGGACCAGTCCTAACAATATCTATAACCCAAAATGTTCGTTCTCAGGAACGTTTGAAATACCTTTCTTTCAACTTCTGAAATTTAAGTGTTTTAGAACTTAGTCGAAAAACGTTCGACATAATCTTTTATGAGAATTGGGTATAATTGATACAGTAAATTCAGCCATTGATCCCTGTTTGGAAGGGTAAGAAAACCTTCTCGTCATAAGAGTTATGGAGCATGTTTGCTTGAGGTCTCTCTCTGGAGTTTCGAATTCTATAAGAGGTCAAGTCTTTGTTTTACCCTCAAAATTGACGTGTCATCTGATAATTTTCATATTAACGAGTTGAGTGTAAACCAGTCCTTTTGCGGAAATGTGAAAGAAACTACACTAGAACTCGATTAGTTAAAAGTGTTTGCCTCAAAACGATATATTTATTTATATCGAAAACTCATTTTGATAATCAGTATGTATATTTAATCCTTTTGCACCCACCGTACTAAATTGAAACATACAACAAATGTAAAAACTATACACTATCCTACGGCTTTTACTGTATAGAGAAATTTCAATTTATAATTTTTATTATAAAAAAATTCGCTGGGTTCAAGATATGTGAACTTTTTTCTTTAGTTGAACTAAGTCATTTTTTATTTTATTTTTATAACAATTTTTTCCCCTCGGGAATTTGTTTTAACATGACAGAGAAAAGAGCAGATTTTCTGTAATGTATTTCGAAATTTTATTGTTACTTACTATTTCAGATTTTGTATACAAATTATTTATTCCTTTTCATTTTTTTTGTTTAATAATTTTTATTTTAAGTCTAAAAATCTCATAATTTAAAAAAAAATCTTTACAAAGTGGAGTTGGATTTCATAATATATAACTATTTTTAGAATATCATAGAACAAAAATGTACACAAGGGAATTTGAAAGTAAGAATTTGTTTAATTTAACTTGTCCTTTGTTCAAATTAGTGACATTCGTTAGAAATATTCCTTAGATTAAACTATTTGAATAAAAATTTACGTAAACTAAGCAAAGTATTATTATGGATCCTTTAATGTTTTAACACGCCTTAACATTCATCAATTTGCTTTTCTTCCTCACTTTTGTGTATCTTTACTCTAAAAAAAAGGTTTCCCCAGTTACCTGATGTTGAAATTAATAGAAATAAAACAAGGAAATAAAATAGTTTTATGCAATCAATTCAATAACGGTGGATATATCAACTCAATAATTTAGTTTCTTATTCATTCATTTAAATTTCATTCTGCTAAATATATATTTGATATTTTTTGTTAAAAATTCCACAATAGACTTTTTCAAAACACATTAAGAAAATACTAAGCAGTAAAAAAATCTGTAAAGTCTCTAAGTTGAAGATTGCTTATCTTTAACATTGCAAAAAACATAGGTACTTTCGTTTTTTCGCAACAATCGCCAAAATTCAAGATAACTCGCCAAGTTGGCAACTCCAATTTCGAATGTGTCTTATGCGCTAAATTGACAATCATGAGCTACGTTACATATAATGTCACCAATAGGTTGCTAAAATACGTAAGTACCAAAATATGCGAAGCATTAAATTTTTCCCTGATAAATGAAAAAAATTCATGCAATTTAAATTTTATTTCATCAATAGATATTCAAAAGACAGTTATGTGTTTCTCTGAGTGGTATAAAAGGTAATTATAACAAAAGTGGTTATTTTTTGTGTATATCTCCACACCCAAAAAATGCTTACTCAATTTTCTTCAGTCCAAAGTAGCAGTAAAAAAATATTGTATCATCTCAAGCTCCCTATTTTTGGAGACTATTATTGTTCTTTCATTTCTTAAAAGATTTTTTTAACCACATCATTTATCTTTTCACGTACAAACAGTGTTGCGCGTGTAATGGACGCCTAAAAAGCGACGCTAGTCAAGAAAGATTTATAACCCTGATGAAATATCCAAAATAACCTTTCTGTAGCAACAAATTTCATCTAAGGAGACGATGGCTTTTACTTTTTAACATCTTTTTTAACTCGTCTGAAGCTGATGAAAATTAATGATTGAAAGACCATATCCAAGTTGTAAAAGTACGAGTCTACTTTCTTTATTTTGTGTTCCTTTTTAATGTATAGTAATAGTGCCTTCAGATCTATTGAACACAACGGCTACTCTCACATCCATTAATAAAATTTTAGATGTAGTCTGATCAAAATGTATCTAAATGGCTTGGCGACTTTTCTTGAGGAAGACATAAATAATACTTTCAAACATTACTTTTTTTTATTTCTGACAATTAGTTTTGTTTCACTTAACAGGAATTTTGATATTTTTTTTAAATTTCTTACTTATGATCATACTTCAAACAGAAATATTCTGTTAGCTGTATGTATAGATTTTTATAATATGAGCCGCTAATTCATATATACAAGGTAAACAAAAGAGTTCTTGTCGTTTCTTATGACACAAAAAAACATGGCATACAAACAGCGTAGCCTATTGTTAGTCTTCGAAGTAATTACCATCGGCATCCAGCACCTTCTGCCAACGTGTCTCCAGTTGTTCAATCTACTTGCGGTAAAACTCGGGGGAGTGGGACGCAAAGAAGTCCGCGAGAGCTTGGCGCACGTCTGCTTCATTGATTAAGGATTTACCACGAAGATGATTGTCCATGGAATGGAAGAGGTGATAATCTGATGGTTCAAGGTCAGGTGAGTAAGGAGGAGGGCACAAAGTCTCCCAACCAAGGCGCTGTATCGTATTCCTGGCCACTCGCGCGACATGCGGCCTCGCTTTATCATGCAATAACAGTACACCCTTTCAATTAACCAGTGCTGGCTCCTTTTGATGCAATGCCTGTTGTACACGTTCCTATTGCTGCGAATACAGGTCCGCAGGGCCCATTTGACCCCTTGGTAGCAACCCACAGTGAACCACTTGACGACAAGTCCACCAGACACAAAGCATAATCTTGCGTGGAGGCATAGGTGGTCTTGCGCTGTGCGAGACAGTATCCTGGGGTGACAACTAATGTTTGGAACGATTGGGTGTGTCATACAGGACCCACTTCTCGTCACTGATCAGCACCCGATTGAATATGGATGCGCTACGGTTGCGAGAAAGCAACGATAAACAGGCTGCCACTCGTTGTTGCTTATGGACTTCCAACAGCGTGTGAGGAACCCACTTGCTAAGCCTGTACGTCTTACCTAAGCGGTGCAGATGAAGTCTAACCGTTTCACTGGAAGTGATGAATTGTCTGGCAAGTTCATCACACGTTTGACTACTGTCCTCCTCAATGAACGCCTGCAGGGCTTCGTCATCCAAAGCCTGTGCTCGTCCTGTTCGAGCTTTATCACAGTGGGACAAATCTCCCTATCTGAATTTTTGAAACCAATGCCTTGCAGTACGTTCATTGACAGCACTATCCATAAACGCTTGACATATTCGGTGACTTGATGCAGCGGCTGATAAGCCCACTTTGAAGTCGTAAAGTAAACAACCCCGAACGAGCTCCTTCGATTCGCCCATTTCGCTTCGCTACTGTACGAGTTCCGATTGATGAATGTGAGCATTGGACCTGTGTTTATAACAACTGATATTACTACTTTCGACTGACGGTTTCTCAATCACGTCATACACGATTTTGCATACATATTCCCACTTCTTTCAATGGAAACGCTCAAATGGCAAGAACCTTTTTGTTTACCTTGTAAATAAGATTTATTTTTAAAATTTTTGTACTCTTATACGTCTTATCACAACCTATTGGTGACATTATGTGAAACGAAGCACATGATAATCAACCCACGCATACGACACATACGAAATTGGGGTTGCCAACTTGGAGCGTTATCTGAACGTTGAACATTGTTTCGATTATACGTAAGTACCAAATTTTTGCACGGATACATTTGCACGGACATACTGGGGTGGTATTGATGTTTAGATGCCATTCCGTCGTATGTCTACCACTTATTTGTGTGTGTGTTTATCTGTATAACACCCTTTATGTAATTCTTATTATTACTTTATTCTTATTATTCTTATTATTACTTACTTTTTGTAATTCTTATTATGCCCGTGTTCTGCGTACCAAAATTAAAATGGTTTAATCAACATATTCTGAACAAACATGCATACAGGACGCTTAATGTATGAATTTTTTTTTACATTGATAAACTCGAGTTGCACATAGCAATTTCATGCCTTCTTAATAAATGAATATATATTATTAAAAAACTTATATATATACATATTTTTTCCTTTTGTTAATAAATTCAGTATTTACGTATATTATACCGTCAACAAATTTCAAAAAATAATAAGTTTTATTAAAAAAAATTAAGTCAATTCCTACTTAGGTCAAAAACGAAAAGTTTTATTTTAGTTAATTTTTATTAAATAGTTACAATTAATACATGCATATGGCAGAATCACAATAATAAGTGACAAAATATAAACGATTTTCCATGCAATTTTCAATTTCCCTTTCTATGTATGGAGCTGGACTATTTTTTGTTTGTTATTATTTATTCATTAGTTAAATTTAATTATTCAAGTAAAACAGTATAGTAAAAATGAAATCACCTTCTCAGAAATTAGGCCATCCCAGGTGGGATTCGAACCTACGACCTTTGGATTAGAATTCCAACGCGTTATCCATTGCCTACAGGGACACAACGAACAATTTTCCTTTCTATATATGCTTATGGACTTATTTTTGTTTGTTCAATGTATTAATTTTTTTAATTTAATTAATGAATTAATATTTGAAATAACTATTATCATCATGTGTCATCCACTATAAGTTAAAAAATGTATTTGAACTTGAATGGATGAATAGAAAGTATTTTATTGACGATTAAAAATTTGAACAAGATATATATATATATATACGTATATCAAAATTTCTCTTCAAGAGAATATATATATGTGTGTGTAATGTATATATATATATAATGTGTGTATAAAGATACATATATATATATATATATAGGGAGAGAGTGAACTAATAGTAGGAATGCTGTTGCCAATTCAAAAGACGTCGCTAAATGCTGTCATCTCTCGTAAATATTATCTTGGAATATTGGCGGGAATGGTTTTCTACGATTGGCTGCAAATCAGAACATTTGGCGACGTCTTTTGATTTGAGAACGTGGTCGATGGTGTAATACGTAAGTACCTAAAGTTCACCATTCTGCATACTTTAATTCAAGTTTAACATTCTATGACGTACACAATAAAATGAATGGAATGGAATTTTCAAACCACCTTAAATATCTCAATGTATTTAAGGTTGTTTTCAATATGTAGCTGTTGTTTGCAAATAAAAATCATAATATTAACTTTATACAACGCAGCCTTTGTTACTCAAATACTAATGCAATAACATGCACACTACATACTAATAATTCTAACTGCAATACAAAATTCGAATATTACAATTGGAATATTCTTTTATAAATTCTGTTTTACAAATCCTTTATAAAAATAGTAATCAGTTAATCTGTAATGGCAAACGATTTATTTAGAGAAAGATATATAATGTGAACACAGCCAAACCATTAATTAGAAAAATACAACATAAATATGCCAAACGATATTTCGATACCTTTATATATTATGAATAGTAATAGTGCCTTGATATAGAAGGCAAGTCACTGAGGAAGTCGGCGAATCTTTATCTTTTGATAAAAATGCAATTTGCGTTAAATAATGCGATGCTTCAGTAATCTTTTTGTTGTGAATATTTATTTCCTGTTCCTAGTTTTCCTTTGTATATAATTATTTTATTTGGTACATTAATATTATTAATTATAGATAGGATTCGGGCCAGGGCTCAGATTCTGGCATTTTCTGATGATTTCTCTCAACTTGTCAGAATATTAAATTTCTGATACATTTTTTTCCATTTTAAACATTTAGTCATAATACACTTTCCTACATATCTTTCTTGTTTTGAATTTGTCATTGTTTAATAATTTTAAGTTGGAGCTTGTATATACTATAGTTTCTAAACGTGTTAATTTCCTTTGAGCAAAATTTTCTTTTTTCCCCCCATTATTTGTTCATTTTTATTTTCCATTATGTTTTCCTCCTTTCATCATTGTCTTTTTAAGGTGATATGGTACCCTAAACATCATTAAACTGTAGAAAAAAATTTTATTGGCTTATTTGATACCTCGAATCTTTATAAATATGCCTGCAAAATTTCAAAGCTTTACATGCATTTTTTCATTAAGTAATGGAGCAATGTTTGATGCTAAACAGCAACTACCACGCCTACATTTCAGATTATCTGCTAGAAAAGAGCCAGATAAAAATGAATTAATTATTTTTCTAATGCGAATCAACGAGATTGACATTATATATGCAGTAATAAATCATTTTAAGAAAGAATTATGCAATTCATGCAAAAATTCTAGTTTGTGAATTATTTACTGGAAGATCAAATGGATTTGGTTAAGATTTAAAAGTTGTGCGTGCTTTTTATGATGTTATTATGAATGAAATTAAAACTTCAAAATGGATTCTCCCAAAGCACAAATACTAAATCCCATTTTGATAACTCAGACAATTAAAAATCTAATTCGCAAGAATAGAAAAACTCTCCCATTTTTATATATTTGTTTTTGGAGATATATATATATATATCCCACGTGTGTGTGAAGTTCAACACTTTTATTATTAAAATATTTTAAGATATTTATTTAAACAAATGCACATATACAGTTCTTAGATTTTGATGTATTTTACATATAAATTATTATTTGATTTTGCTTTTATTCGTGTACAATATTTAACATGTGAAGGCTTTTAAAATCATGGAAATAAAAATAAAGGCATAAACATCTTTTGTACATGTTGTGCATTAGCTCTGAGCATGGAATTAGCTCTGAAGTGTGTGTAGTTATTTTTTTTTATAATTATTAAGATAAAGTTTTATGAAATATTGATCTTTCATTCGTTTTTTATGTATATTCATTATGGCAGTATACTGTTTAATTGTTCTACATTTGTGTAATTTTTTATGGTAAGTAGTTTGAAATAAGCTAATTAACATTTCATAAAATTTTCAGGCTATTCGATGAATATTATATCATGCTATTCATGGAATGAAAACTTCAAACTCATATTTCTCTATGTTCAATTTTTGTACATATACTGTTATTCAAAATCCTAAGGCTTTTTTGATAATTGAAGTATGGGTTTGAAATTTTTATACATGTTTTTAAACGTATGGTTTGTAAAACTGTACATGTAATTAGCTCTAACATGTTTAGTACTTTTCTAAAAAGTTTCAAAATCAAAATTGATGTTTTTTGGGGAATTTTTGGAAGTTTAACTATAAAAAAAATTAATAAAAAACTAAAGAGCAGCAGCAGAAAAAAAAACCATGCACAGTTTTATGTAGTATATTATAAGGTACTTAGAAAAAAAATTTTGAAAGAAAAGAGATATTTAAAAAAGCTTTAGAAATTTAAAAAATGCTTAAAAAAGCTAAAAAAATTTAAATTTTACAAGCATTTTGGAACAAATAAAATTTTTTTTGCATGGAATTATTATTAAATATTAAGCTTTATGAAATACAATTAAAACCAAATATCAAATATTAAAAATAAAAAAATTGTGAAGATGGTACCCTATCGCCTTAAAGAAATGCCTTAGGCATTATTTAAAATACAAAATAAAATAAAACTATCGCACGCTTTATTCAAAGTACAGAATTATATTTCCTCATTAATACACGTATGCTAAACAAAAATGGTAAATTTTAGAATAAAAAACAGGGCACTAATAATGGAAAAGAAAACATTGCATGAAACCTATATTTCTATTGAATATTTTTTCTTCCTTTTTTTCTGAATGATATTTTTATTAGAATATTTTAATTCAGGAGGAATTAGAAAAAAAAAGCTAATTGAATTTTAGCTTGTAGAAACAGGTATTATTTGAAATTATCAGTGAATAGAAATAAAAAGACACTGTCGTCATATATCGTGAAATATTTTCGTCAAATTTAACATACAAAAGAGATTTTTTATATCTAATTGCGTCAGTGCTAAGCTAATCCTAATTTCCTAACCATGGATTTTATATTATTGGTGTAATGGAGCTTTTTAAATTAAGTTCTTTTCAGTAAAAATTTAGATATAAAATGTTTATATTTAGACACATAAATAAAAATAAGCATCTAGGCATTTTATTTCTTATTGTTACATAAAAATGAAAACAAATTATTTTAATATTATTTATTAAAATACTTTGTTTTTTTATTTCCTTAGATTTTACGATTTTACTTTTATTCTTTTTTGCAAACGATTTCTAAATTAAGAAAAATATTATTCAAATACTTTATTTATTATTGCGTTTCAAATTTCGAATGTCTTCTAACTGAAAAACTATCTTAATAAAAAATAAACAGATAATTTTAAGTTTAATAATTCCATATTTAAAAAAATATTCGGTTTAAAGTTAGTACTTTTTTTACTTTTTCACAAAAACTATATCATAATATAGAATTGAATTTACCAATGAAATGTAATTATAACTCACGTAAAAGCCATTTTCAACTAAAGCCTGCTGCAACAGTAAGATCAGCTTAACACAATTTTAAATCCCGTTAATGGGGGCTGCCTTATTATATTTTATTTCATTTTATTATATTTTTATCTGTAATTATGAAGGCAAAATGGAAAGGACGTTCTGCGTGGGCTAACATGACTAACCACTACTGCTGCAACCGCACGTGGGTAGAACTGGCCTTTCAATTTCCTTTGATGTTCAAGTAAATATCTAGCGAATAAGAAAATTACCAAAAATTTATATTCGATTGCCGCGTTTCGAACGTTATTGAATGAGGCAGAAAACACGGATTCATTTACGAAGTTTCAGTCAACAGATGGGAATGTTAAAAGTGTTTCGATTTGTTTTGAAAGAAAGTTTTCTTCATTTCCTTTTCTGGTAAGATGTATAAAGTTTTTTTTTTTTTAAATTTTTAAATTATCTGATTTGTAGTGTTTTTATTGAAATGTTATTTCGAATACTACTTTTAAACTAAAGTTTTTCGCAGTTCTGATATTTAAGTAATTTCTTACTTGAAATAGGAGCTTTTGCTTATAGGGAGGTTTTATTTAAAATCATTGAAATAGAGTACGTTATATACAAATATTATTTCACTTTATTATTTAAATGTTGCAAAAAATATACTTTTTTGTATTTAACAGTTGTTAAAGTGCACGAGTACTTTTTTTATAGAAAAATACCGAACAGTAATTGCTCATTAATTCTTCCTTTTAAGGTATGTTTACATTATAACTACGGTAGAATATTTTTTTTATTTACTTAATAAGTGCACAAGAGGAAATTTGTCAAAGTATTTATTTTTGTATATAAATCGCATTTGACAAGGAGTTTTCGAATACTGTACCGCGAACTATTCCGAATCCTTTGAAGCGGGCTTATTAATTATGGAACAAAAAAATTTTTAAAGGCTTGTATATTAATTAGTAGCTATCAGTTTATTGATTGTAACAAATAATAGATTAAATATACGAATTGTTTGTATAATATCATTGCATGTATAAGTAATTTATTGCCTCTTTCTTACTATTATTGTTTTGAAATCATTCCATAGGGATGACAATGTAATTAAAATAGGTAAAATAAATACTGG